AAATCCCATACATCGGAGCTTGCTTAGTATATTTTCCGTTAAAGGGCCCTGGGACTTGTTAACCCTCAGTGAAGTTTACTTTCACCCTCAGGAGAATTGTCCCTGCCCACCTGGAGTCTGAGGAAGGGCTCTTTTTTTATTATGATGAGGCGAAGAACTCAGCAACAGGAACCACTCGGAAATGGAGTGGATCAGTGGTTCTGGTTGGTTTAGCGTTGTATCAGAATCTCCTGGAGGACTCATAAAAAACAATCCCCCCCCCCCCCCCGAAATTGTAGGGTGCCAGTACGAGTTTAGAATTCAATAAGTTCCAGATGGGACCTGAGACTTTGCAATTCTAACAAGTTCCCAGGTGATTCTGATGCTGCTGATTTGTGGACCACAGTTTGAGAACTGAAAACCATTGTCATTGGTCTCTATAGCAAAAGGCATCCTCCAATGATCTTATTTCATACTGGCAGAGATACAGTGGGAAAAGCCCATTCACTAGTGCCTCCACGCCTCCCTCCAGGAGGCTATTCAACGTGATAATGGAAGGGAAAGTGCTTTTTACACTGTAAAAATGATACAAAGATGCGAGGTCTTACTGCCACAGGGACCCATCTTCAAGCTGCAAACTTCATAGCTTTAGACCTGACTTTTCTCAAGTTGTCATTCGTTCATCTACTCACCCATCTGGTATGTGCCAGGGCCCTGCCCTGGGAGAGTCACAGAGAAATAGGACACCATTTCTTCCCTCAATGTGCTTATTGTCTTGTACAGAGACCTCCCCTGCCAAAGCCCCCATTCTAGAATCTTTAGGATAAGAGAGGAGTCACACAACTTGTACAGTTTGAAATTAACTCCCTAGATTATTTTGATAAACTCTCCTCCACTCCTGTACATTTGGGAAGGATATAACATGCATTGAACACGCACATAGAAGAGGGTTAGAATGCCAGAAGGTTTCGTGTGAGTGCTGAAGGTAGAGCTTACAGGTGGGAAGGAGCACTGTCCCTGAGGATTCCACAAGGCACCAGAGAAGAAGTCACCAGGGGTGGGCCTTTATTTCTTCCTTTTGGTAATTTGAAGTTGCCTCTCAAGCTCACTGATCCCAGAGCACATCTGTTTCCTCTTTCTTTTTCTACCTATCCATGTCTTTTTCATCCTTAAAAGCTCACCTCGGTTCTCTCTATAGTCTGACCACATCCAGCCCACACAGATCTCTTCCTCAAATTCCATGTGCGACCCTCTCTTGGCACTGAAGACAAACAGCTTTTTGGGGTTGACTATATCAGTTTGCATGCTTGACTTACTCTAAGGGATTGTTCAAGGTTTTAAATTTCCCAAAGGACAGGATTATGTCTGAGTTTCTCTTGTGGTCTTCACACTGGAGAATGCATAGAAAACAGTAGGTACTCAGTAAGTGTCATGACTGGTATGTTTTGGACTAGCGTATATCAAATTAAGAAAGAGAGCAAAAGCTATATGTCAGCAACAGTCTTCTTTACCTAGAGCCGGGGCAGAATATGTATACATGGGTGCAGTAGAGATAGAAGTGGGGGTAGAAGAAGCAGGAGAGAGCATGAAGAGGAGAGGAGGCGGCAAATCCTCAGACCTGTTATGTAACTGCTATGTAACTGAAGCATAGAACATAATGGGATGACTATCTGTTCAGGATGGGTCCTATGGCCATGGAATTAATAACAACTTGAAGTGGAAGCTGTATATTCACAGAGAAAACAGAATGTAGCTTTTGAAGGAATCTCAGTCCTACCATTTATTAGCTGCACGTTATTGGACAAGCTACTTTTTCTTTGCGAGTCTTAAGTCCTCCATTGGTAAAAATGAGGGTAATAATGTTCTGTTACAAACATTTGGTTTGATGAGAAAATGAGGTTAACGTGAAAATAACCAGCTCACTGTGCCTATTATGCAGTAGATTATGGTTAATAACCAATAGATGTTTCTTGAAATCAAAAGAAAAATAACAAAATAATAATAACAACGAAAGGCTGGGATATTACACTTCATGTCACATTTTGAAGTGGTAGCCAAAGCTTTTTTTTTTTTTTTTTTTTTTTTTTTTTTTTTTTTTTTTTTTTTATGTAAACATTGGACCTACCTGCCAGGCCCAGAGCCAGAGACTTCAAATATGAAGCCTTGTAGTCCAGAGGTAATGCACCCTCGGGTAAGCTTCAAAGAACCTTCCCCAGGTTCTTCAGGTTCTCCAGACCTTCTATTTGGAGCTCATCTTAGATGGAAAGTGCCCTCTATGAATAACCTGCTGATTTATTTCTCAATGAGCAGTGTCAAACTTGGTGCAGGAGTCAAAATTGCAGGTGGAGTGACCTTTTCATTTTGCATTGATTAAAAGCCTGGTCACAGAGGCAACAGAATAAAAAGCTCCAATTTTCAAGAGTGTATCTAACCCTACTCTTACCTTCTTTGAAGACCAATATTCTACAATGATGGTGGGTAACAATTCAATCAACCAACATCCAAAAATGAGCAATGCTTTGTAAAAATAACTAGACACCTGAGATAGCCCATTAAGTATTCAAGCATTCAGGTTCTAAACTTATCCTAAAGAGTCATCAATATGACTTACACATAAAGGTAAGTGCAGTGGTATTCAACAGCATTGATAGCTCAGAGAGAAGTAGCTTGAAGGTAACTTGAAGGTTCAAAATATTTTCAAAATATCAAGAGGAAACCTTTCCAAATGAACTAAGTTCTGAGGTCCAATCATCTGAAATACCTATCTAATTACCCTAGAGATCCACAAAAGTGGCTTCTGTAATACCAGACTCACTGCTTTATTTCTCCTCCCCATCCCTAATTGTTCATTTTTTGATTAATGCCATAAGGTACATGAGCTGTGATGGTGCCGAATTTCTGTGCCCCTTCAATGTGGAACATGTGGTCATCAAAGAAAATGTGGGGCCTTATCTTTACCAAGATGGGACCTTTGGGGGCTCCAGCAAGGAAAAGAGCTTCGTCTATCTCTAGACCCCAGCGGCGAAGGGTTTTCAGCACTCGGGCGCCTGAACTGGCTGCACTCCTGGCTGTAACCAGGTAGGTCCTGATAGGGCAAAGTAACCGTTCGTCTTTGGCATAAAACTTCTTTTGCAGTCTGCCTAAATCTTCCAGAAAGCCTTTTAAGGGACCCTGTAAAAGGAACATATGTCATAGCTGTGATCCAGTGAGCTAAAGGAAGTGAATGCTGAAAAAGCAGAGGCTTATAAGAGCTTATAAAAGGATATAATACTGCATTAGACTGTCAGTATTCTAAGGCCGATGGCAAAGTCCTGAAACTCCTTGCGTTTATGTGAATATGTTTCCTTTTGTGGAACTATCCTTGCATTGCTGGAATAAATATAGGATGACCATATAATTTATCATCTAAACATAGATGTTTTAAGAGTGAAAGAAGTTGCTATACAAAGTTAAACCAGGGCAAAAGACATAAATTATCCATGGCAAAATGGGACTCTCTAAATAAAGTCTGGTTAATCACTGAAGCACTATTTTGGTTTGCTTTTTGTGAATTGCACGTTTTATTATTATAATTTATGCTATATTATAATATATGCTAGTTAAGTGACTTCTTGGCTTGAATCTAACCTTGTCTTATATTTACAATTACCTTTGTATATCTTCACACTTACTTTTATCTTCATCTTTCTGAACACTTAGTTCTAGCTGTTTCTCTGGAATAGAGCAAGAATTGGATTCTGCTATATGATCCAATATGGAAGTCTTAATTTTTTAAAACAAAGTTGAGTTTTAGGCCATTTATATTTATTGGCATTACTAATATATGCGATAATGGTTCTGTCATAGGATTTTTATTGTATTTTCCTTGTTCATTGAGTATCTTTTTTTCTTTGTGAATGTGTGTATGTGTGTTTCTTCTAACATTTAGGAAGGTTTGTAGTATTTCCTTATATTGGTTACCTTTGTAACTTTAACTTTTTATAGTACTTTTAGTCCTTTATTTTTTAAATATCAGACCTAGTGTTTTTTTATAATGAGAAATAATGAAATTACAGTCCTTCTTTACCTCTCTTTCATTTTCTGTTTCTTTGCAAGCATCCAATTTTACTTGGTCCCTCTTCCTCATTTTCATTATTAAAGATTCCTATATTTCTATTTATCAGTTTTACATCTTATCCTTTGATCATTATTGTAACTGAAGATATCAACATACTTATTCTTCCTTGAATTTTTTTCCTCCGCATTTTTCTTGTTTTCATTAGTGATATAATTTCTGCATCGTTAGGACATGTAATGTGTACTTTCTTTTCTGTCACCCTAATCCCTACAATTGTTTTAGTTTTAGCTCTATGGTTAAATATATTCTGCATCCATTTGTGCCTCCGTGTTTTTATTCATCTACATGTGGGCCAATATGTGTCTTCTAAACTAATTTTCCCAAGAAAATCTTATGGAAATAACAATCTCTGAGAATATAGTATGTTTTCAACTGTTGATCTATTTTCTTTACTTGAATAAACTTTTGGCTAGATATAGAATCTGTGATATATATTTTCTCTCCAAGTGATTTTATAAGTAGTGCACCACTGTCTTTTGCTATTGAGTGCTGCTGTGGAGAAAACTGAAGACAGCTTGATTTTTTTCCCCCACTCATATGTGCAGACTGCCCAAAGAATTACTTTTTCATCTTTGATGTCAAAATTTTTTACTAGGGAATTTTGTTCTAGTTCCCAATTACATAATGTCACCTTTAATCTTTGTTCTTTTAATAGTTTATTTTTTAAATGTTTTTATTTACTTTTGTTTTTTTTTTTTTTGAGAGAGAGAGAGAAAGAGAGAGAGAGAGAGAGGAAGAGAGCGAGAGGAAGGGAGGGAGAGAATGAGCTGGGGAAGGGCAGAGAGAGACAGAGAGAGACACAGAATCCAAGCAGGCTCCAGGCTCCGAGCTGTCAGCACAGAGCCTGATGCGGGGCTCGAACTCATGACTGTGAGATCATGACCTGAATCAAAGTTGGACACTTAACTGACTGAGCCACCCAGGTGCCCCTAATCTTTCAGTAAATCTGACAGTTTCAGATATTTTATTTATTTATATTTTGATATAATTTTGCATCTTTGTATTTACCACACACAATCCTCCCCTCCTCCCTTCAAAACATAATTTCAGTGTTTTCTTCAGGGATTCCACTTATGCATATGTTGGATTTTCTTTACCTATGATAGATTTCTGTCATTTTTTTCCTCTGTAAAATCCTATTTTTCAATTTTACTCATTTCCAGAGTTCTACCATTTAACATTTTATTATCTCTCCCTTGATTCTTGCATTTCCACTTTATGACCCTGACCCTGCTTTATTACGTTTTTAAAAGTCATAGTAAATGTTTAGTCACAATTTTTACCTATGCTTTGGCCACTATTTCTAGTGAGAGATCTACATCTGTTATTAGATTTTGCCCTTTTTTGCCTTTGTCTCAGTATCTTTGTGTATGTTCTGTGCTGCTTCTGTTTTTATTACTCATCACTGAAGCAGACTGGTTTTTCTGGGAACAATTAGAGAGTTTATGGGGGAAGGACAAGGATAGTATTGTAAGACTGACTTGTTTTCAATTCAAAAGATCCCTTCCCTGCTGTCCTGGAAACAAACTGTTTATTTATAAACATGACTTAACAGATGATCTTTTGTCTATTTAGATCTAAACATTATTTAGATCACTGTTTCTCTAAGGCTGCAAATATCAGGAAAAAAAACATGTAAAATTCATTTTCTAAAGGTATTCTAAAACTATTAACTATTTCTAAAATTGGCAACAGCAACAAAGGGGGTATGGTGACTGTTGGCAGGATCCACCCTACTAATAACTAGTTTGGCTTTGAAACATAGAGGAATACAGTTCTCCTACTGCTTTTGAGTAGTTTCCAAAGGGAATAAATAGGGACCAGTTTATGTCACCATATTCAGAACGGGTGTCCGTATCATCCTTTCTAGAGACAATTTAAATGTAAAAACATAGGGATGCCTGGGTGGCTCAGTCAGTTGAGTGTCTGACTTCAGCTCAGGTCATGATCTTGTGGTTTGTGAGTTTGAGCCCTGCATTGGGCTCTGTGTTGACACCTCCGAGCCTGGAGCGTGCTTCGGATTCTATGTCTCCCTCTCTCTGCCCCTGCCCCATTCACGCTCTGTCTCTCTTTCTCTCAAAAACAAGTAAACATTAAAAAAATAAATGTAAAAACATAAATCGGTTAAAAGTAAAAATTATAGAAAAGATATGCCATGCAAACACCAGTGAAAAAACCCAAACCAAAACAAATAAAAAAGCTGGAGTGGTTATATGACTATGAGACAGAGAGACATTACATAATGAAAAGGGATTATTTCACCAAGAAGACATAACAATCCTAAATATTTAGGCAGTAAGCAGAAGAGATTAAAAATACATGAAGCAAACACATATAATTGAAAGGAGAAATAGATTAATCCCCAAACATACTTGAAGGCTTCATCCCTGCCTCCTCAATAATGGATACAAGAAGTAGGTAGAAACCTACTGACAATATGGAAAACTTGGGCAATATTACCTAATACACTGTCAATTTAATCTAATTGACATGTTTGACTACTCAACTTAACAATACAGAATCAACATTCTTCTCAAGTACACATGAAACATTAACCAAGATAGACCATATTCTGGGCATAAAACACTCCTCAATAAATTTAAAGAATTGAAATCATATAAAATGTATTCTTTGATTACAACAAAATTCTATGTGGAATCGATAAGAATGAGATATCTAGTAAAATTCTAAATACTTGACCAATAACCAACTTCTAAATGACCCATAAGTCAAAGAGGAAGTCAGAGGAAAATTAAAAAATACTTAAAATTGAATGAAAATTACAAACAACCTATCGACATTTGTGGGATGCCATCACAGCATCATTTAGAAGAAATTTTAATGTATTAAATGCTTATTTTAGAAGTCTTAAATCAGTGTCCTCAACTTCCATCTTTAGAAACTTAGAGCTGGCTATTGAGAAGATAAAATTGTTGTCTAGCTAGACTAAGAACAGGGGAGAACCACAGAGAAGACAAATATTACTAATATCAGGAATGAAAAGGTATACATCACTACAATCCTAAAGATAGTAAAAGCAAAATAAGAACATATGAAAACTTTATGCTGATGAATTCAGTGACTTCAATGAAACAGGCAAATTACTTTAAAGATACAAACTCATAAACTGCCGGAAAGTAGGACAAAAAGAGAAAATCTGAGTAATAGTTTATTAAAAATAATTGAATTTTTAGTTAAAGCCTTCCTACACAGAAAAGTCCAAGCCCAGATGGTTTCTCTATGAAAGTCTACCTAATAGTTGAAGAAGAAATAATACGAACTATACACAAAGTCTTCCAAAAATTTGACAGGAAGAAAATATTTCCCACATGATTCTGTGAAGTTAGCATTATTCTGTAAGGTATTACCAGAAAGGAACACTATAGAGTTATATATCCTTCAGGAGCATAAAGGCAAAAAAAAAAATCCTAAATTATATTTTTACAAATTGAATTTAGCAAGATATAAAAAGGGTACTACAACATGACCAAGTTGAATTTATACCAGCAGTGCAAAGCTGCCTCAACATTTTTAAGTACATCAATGTAATTTAGCTATCAACATACTAGAAAAGCCACATGCTTTTCTCAATACATGCAGGGAAGAAATTTGACAAAATTCAACATGCATTTATCGTAAAAACTCTTAAAAAAATAGGACTAGAAAGTAATTCCCTTACTTGGCAAAGGGCATCATGAAGAAAACAATAGATAATATACTTAGGAGTCAAAGACTGAATGATCTGTTCCTAAGATCAGGGATAAGGCAAGGATATCCCCTCTTATCACTCTTATTGAACATTCCGCTGAATTCACAAGCAAGGGTAATAAGGCAAGAAAGATAATTAAAAGACATGCAAAATGGAAACATAGAAATAAAAGTGTTTTTATTCAGTCAATATTGTCTATGTAGAAAATCTCAAATCATCTATGAAAATTTTACTATACTAACTAGTGAATTTAACAAAGTTGCAACATACGAAGTCAATATGCAAAATCTGTGATAACAGATTGGAAATCAAAATTTTAAAGTACCAATCACAATAGCACCAAAATTATGAAATACTTAGGTATTAATCTAACAAAGTATGTGCAATATCTATATACAAAAACATTTGAAACACTGAAAGAAATCAAAGATGACCTAAATGAATGGAGAGATGTACTATACCCATGGACTGAAAGACTTGATATTAGGACATCCCCCTGCCTCCCCCAAGTTTAAGCTATAAATTCAACATAATCATAATAAAAATTCCAGCAGAATTTTTTTTTTCAGGAATGGACAACCTAGTTGTTAAATCGATATAAGAATGCAAAAAAAAAAATTCAGAATATCCAAAAGAATTTTAAAAAATAACAAATTTGAAGAACTCACACTACCTGATCTCAAGACTTACTATAAAACTGCACTTATCAAGACAGTGTGATATTGGTAAAAGCATGGACACCTACATTAAAGGAACAGAAAGCCAGTCTTTTTCACAAATAGTGCTGGAACAATTAGGATATCCATAGGGAGTAAAAGTGAACTTAACCAATACTTTGCACAAATACAAAAGTTGATTCGAAATAGGTCATAATCCTAAAAGAAAAAAACCCTAAAATTATAAAATTATGTGCAAAAACATAGGGAATTTATGTGACTTTGGCAAACAGTTTTTACATATGACATTAAAAGCATGATTCATAAAAGAACTAACTGATAATTTGAACTTCATCAAAATTGTAAAATTTTGATCATTGAAAGACAATGAATGGTATAAAGAGAATAGAAAGACATGTTTGTCTTGAGACTGAGTGAAAATATTTGCAAAACATCTCTAATAGAGGACTTGTATCTCGAATATGTTAAGAACTCTCAAACTTAAATAATAAACCCAATACAAATGAGCAAGAGATTTGAGCAGATATTTTTGCTAAAGAGCATATATGATGGCATATGTTCAATATGATTTATTGTTAGAGAAATGCAAATTAAAACTACAGTGAGATACGGAACAACTTAAACAAACAAAAAAACAATTACCAGTACAAAATACTGGTAAGTATGTACTGCAACAAAATCTCATATATAGTGCTATTGGGAATGCAAAGTGTATGGTCACTTAGGAAAATAGTTTCACAGTATCTTATAAAATTAAACATATACTTAACATGTGACCTAGAAATCCTACTCATAGGTGTTTACCCAAGAGAAATGCAATCTTATGTTTGCACAGAATGCTGTATGCAAATGCTTAAAGTGGCTTTATTTATAAATGCCAAAAAATGGAAACAGTCTAAATCTCCTCCAACAGGTAAATGGATAAAGAAAATGTGGTACATCCATAGAAGAGAATATGACTCAGCAATAAAAAGGAACAGACGCTACTGATACATGGAATGGCATGGATGTATTTCAAATGCATTATGCTCAATGAAAGAAGTCAGATTCAAAAGATTGTATACTGTGTGGTTCCATTTATGTGACATCTGGAAATGGCAAAACTATAGGGACAGAAATTATATTAGTAGTTGCAGATCCTGGAGATAGCAGGGTAGGATGACTACACAGAGGTATGAGGGAATTTTGTGAGTATATTGAGTATTTTGAATTTGGTCATGGTTTCACAACGGTATACATTTGTCAAAACTCAGAAGCATCCAATAAAAATTATGAATTTTACTGTATATAAATTATACATCAAATGTTATGATTAAAACACACAGAGACACACACAGACGCATACATACACACAGAGTTGGAGACCACTGTTTGAGAATGGTGAGACTAAGTAGGGATCAAATCAGGAAATGTCTGTTACTTGTTATAGTGCCACACTGGAAGCTTATAAGCCACCAGAGAGTGCCCAAGTTAATCTTCTCTAGCTGTTTCATTTTCTGGGGACTCTCAGCTCTCCTCTATTTGAGACAAGTGGGACATTGTCATGACCAAGCTGCAAGTCCCATGACCAACATACTTGAAAGGCTTGGGTAGGAATTGTACCTCAGTTGTACTTCTTTCTCATCAGTGGAACACATTGGCAATACCTGATATTTATAGAAAAGCTACATTTACTATGTAAAAAATAGCATCTTTATGGGGTGCTTGGGTGGCTCAGTTGGTTAAGTGTCTAACTTCGGTATGACCTCACGGTTTGTGGGTTCCAGCTCCGCATCAGGCTCTGTGCTAACAGCTCAGAGCCTGGAGCCTGTTTCCGATTATGTGTCTCCCTCTCTCCCTGCCCCTCCCCTGCTTGTGCTCTATTTCTCAAAAATAAACATCAAAAATAAGTAAGTAGGTAAAATAGCATCTTTATCCACTGCCAGAAGGACTGCATAATGAAAACAAGTATCTTCAGTTGAAATTTGTTGGGTATTCCAGCAATAACTAGCGTTGGGCTTCACAATTTCAATGTTTAATGGAAAGTTCTTTAACATGGAAAAGGGAAGTGATTAATGCAAAATTTAAAATAAATTTGATTTACCTGAGATGAGAAAATGGTATTTTAAGATTATCTTGAAATAATTATGATTTTGAATATTTTAAGTGTTCTTTTTTTGGAAATTTCCAAATTTCAGTAATAGACTACTATACAATGGAGTCTGAATTTCAGCAGACTTACTAAAATATAACAAAGGATTTTCCTCTCAATTTCTTAACAATGAACAACTTCATAACATAAGATCAAGTTTTCCAAAGAAGCTGTTAAGGCAGGGACCATGAAGTTATGTGCACATGTGTGCACACGTACACACACACACACACACACACACACACATACACAGTTTAAATATCGCTTGCTATCACAAGGCAAATTAGTGAAACTTTTCAGCTTTCTGTTAGTCTATTTATACTTTTACAAGTATAATAAAAATAACAATATTTGTTTATTTTAAAGTTCAAGAAAAGCTGAAAAAAAGACCAATTAAATAATTAAATTCTTTGGTAAAATTCTTAGATTAAAACTAAATGGTCCATCAGTTTAGATTCAGTTTAGAGAATAGCTTGATGTTTCAGATTTCCTTTGGTTCAGGAGTTGTAAGTTTTGTTTATTTCAGACTGTGACTTTAACATTTCAGTTCATGGGTTGATTCAAAAAACTTAAATATTCAGTTTCATTTTGATTCAGTGTTCATAGCTTGCACTTACTTGAGGCTCATTGTTTGATTCAATCTGAGCTCACACTTGTGCAGATTTTCTCAAATAATGCCTTTATTGAGTTTGAGGTCTATGGTCAAAGAGGTCCATAAATGTTTACTGAACCTATTGGAAATCACTTTACTATTCTGAGAACTTATTATGTAGAAATGGTTTACTGGTAAGCCATATTACCTCTATTACTTGTAATTTGGAGGTGAACTCATTATCATGAGAAGATCATAGAAACATTTCCAAAACAGGATAGATAAGAGAACGCTAAAACAAAACAAAACTAAAAACAAAACAAACCAAAAACAAAAAGTACCCAACTCGGCAGCAGATGTTTCAAGATGAGGAGTTCATGAAAGAAAGGGAGCAAAGTGTGAAGGATACGAAGTGAGGAATAGCCTGCCTAAAATAATTCAAAACATTTATATGTTGGAAAATAAGTAGATCAAAATTAATTAGAAATCACTGAACCTACCTGAGCAAGAGGCTTATTCTCAAATAGTGCTTCATGTTGAAAGAACTTGTCCAGCCCATGCTCCTTGGTAATATGTTCAGATTCATCCGAGAAGAGGACGGCATCCCCATCAAAGGCCACGCGGAGCTGTGTGTCACAGTAAGCCATGTCTTTGGCTCCATCAAACATAGTTGCAGAGGCGATCCCTGGCAGACCATGGAGATTTATTAATAGTCTTCCCAGAAGTGTCAGTTTCTTCTACCATTTTAATGATTAAAAAAAGAAAAAAACCTTTGCAGTATTTTTTTTTCAAGCTATTACCTGGTGACTCAACTGCTCTTTATAACCACACATCCCCAAACTATTGTTTACACACTGCCTCCATTTCTATAAGGGATGGGAAAGTGTAAAAGCAGTTGTAGGACAATCACTGAGGATGTCCACCTCTAGAAGGTCAGAGCTCTAAAAGACAGCCTTAAGGGCTGCCACTCGTTGGAAACGCCTTACCAGAAAATTTAACAAACCACATAATCATATATGAAGCCCAATGAAAGTCAACACTAGCGCAAACCTTTGATAAAACCAAATGAATACCTTCTTGTATGGCTTCTTGTACTTTTTCAGAATCTGCCGAAAGATATAAGTTGGTAAGATATGCCTTCAAATAGCCAATGGGGCTTTTTCCACCAGTCAGACAGAAGCGGTCAATTAATAAGCCTATTATTGGGCAAGAAAGACTTTGTTATGTCAGAGACTAAAGACAATCTACCTACTATAAATGTAAATCAAAGTTATCATAGGAATAATTGAGTGTCTATTGAAGTTTTAAAATTCATAGCACTAATATTGAAAAACTGCTATATTACATTTAAAAAGCTATTTTATATAATAGTGGATGGGTTTGGTACATGATAATTTGTTAAGTATGTCCACGTAGACCATGCCAATTTACCCTCACAACAACTGTATGACAGGCATTATTCTCATTGTGACACAAAAGGAAACCAAGACATAAAGACTTGTCTAAGCCCATTGGTTCATAAGGACTCTTGTCTAGACTAGAGCATAGTTCTTTTCCTTCAACCACAGGCTCTTCACTTGTTGAAAGAGATAGTTAATGTGTGGCTCTATTTTAAGTACCATTTCTGTATTTCTTCAGTAACAGTACAATAGTAATGACAAGCAGTGCCAGGATTTAAACTGTTTTCTAAAAACAACAACAAAAGGTCTGAAAGTGTCTCCTTCTTCATTTGGAATTTTAAATGTAATTATTTAGCAGACTAAATATTAAAATACCACTAAATGTCTTTCAAATCAACAACAATTAAAAAGCAAACGCTAGATGTTGGTGAAAGTTTTGTAAAACAGTTACCCATATTCACTTTAGATGAGGGTATAAATTGCTATAAGCTATCTAGAGAGTAACCTGACAATATGTCTCAAGAGCTTTTATTAGTTTATAGCTTTTGACCTTTTCATAGTTTATTCTAAGGGAATAATCTGAGGCTCTGATAAAGATTTATGTGGAAAGGTCTCAGCTCAGGATTATTTATAAAAGCAGAACACCATTTAATGATATGAGAATAGCTGAATAAAGTATAACATTATGCATATGAGATAGTACATACCCATTCAAAGTATTTTTTAGGTACATGATGAATGGGTACCTGCATGTGATACAAAACAGACTTTTGAGTTTAGTCGTTGTGTTTCATCTGTATGGACCAACAGAGTAGATAGAGTCCATTGACAGTTGAGGCAGAAGTGTTTGCTACTGTATGAACAAAATACTCTTGTTTTTCACTTAAGCCAACATTGGGCATAAGTGGCACCGAAGTATACTCTACAATCCCTTAAATAATATTAACTTAAAGGTCAGAAATTATTTGGTGGCATGGGGGACTTCAGAAATGATTAAAACACCATCCCAATTCGCAAGTAAATCATAGTTCCCTGAGCAGCCAGGCACGTAAAACAGATAATTGTAATCTAACAGGCCATACGTAGCAGAAGGAGACACAGATTGCATTCAGTACTCCGAGAAGAGAAATGATGCTTCCAGGTGAAAGGTTGTTATTTCATGAGTAAGGCTGTGTGAAGAGATGGAGCTCAGTCAGTTCATTAGCAGAACTGTTAGGTCAATAACCATGATTCCTTATGCTACTAGCCATGATGGACCCAGTTTGGCAAGGGTCAAGAGACCTAAATCACCTACTAAATCAAATAAGGTTGCTGTAAAGTTAATAGCTGCCATAACTGAGTGATTATGCTGCTCATCTATACCAAACCTTTTATATACGTTCTCTTTTCATGTCATAACACTATGAAGGCTCCTTTTTTGAAAGGCTAACATTTTTTAAAGTACGTCTCAGACATCAGCCTTATAATTAGGATAATGTAAAACTCATAATTTGTAAAATACATCTTGATTATTTATAAGTATGCCCACTTTAAACCCACTTTAAACCTTGAATATACCAAAGTTCAACCTTACTCTGACTTCACATACCCATAAGACTGGATATGTCACTTAAAGATAGGCTAAAGGTCCTCAGATAACAAGTCAGGTAATTCCATAACAGGAAAATGAGGATTTTTCTCTTAAAGTATCCAACACTTGATGGAAATGCTATGAGAAGACGAGAGTCAATCCAAATTTCCATGTAAAGGAGCAAAGACATTTTTGCTGGCATGGATCTGATGTGCAGGGAAAGCAGTCAAGGAGAATTGAATTGTTAAGAGTCGAAAGGAAAGGGGAAAACCTGTAAACCTTAGACATGGATCTGTGGTGAACAAGAAGTGTGATCACCCAGAGAAAGCCTCTGGGTTGATGGCTCCTTGAAGTCAAGTTCAGAAGTGAAAAACATAAAACAGAGAAATATATCGCAGGAGCTGGGATTAAGTCTTTGAAATTCACACTTGACAAGTTAAGTCCGGAGCTTTGGGCCCAACTCTGCTGAAGTTAAAAATGAACATGGCCTCTCTTTTTCTGACATAGGCAAATAAACATTCCTCACGCAGAAGGGGGTGTCAGTATCAAAGACGTTGCATTGGTTAGGCCACAGTTAGCAAAATGACATGGCTTCTCCCTTCCAGAGCAGCTAGCTGTTCTTCCACATGTTGTTTATTTTACTTACCATAGTGATTGACGCTGTTTATAAGCCGCACTCCCACTTGGGCATGGTTATTAGTCATCAGTACAATATCAAATAAGTCCTGTTCATTAGGATACAGGTCACGGAGTCTAGCATTGACATGCTGCAGTGCCTGCAGGTTACAAACATGAATGCATGTAAAGAGGGCCAGGCAAGGTGGGCATTGGAGTCTGGAGTCTGGAGAGAAAGGATAGCATCAGTGTCAAATTCAAGCTCTGAAGACTCTTCACTGAGAGATTACGGCTCCGTTAAGGCAGGGTTATGTCATTCATTCCTGTATTTCCAGCCTCTGCTACACAGGACATCAGTTAATGTTTGCTGAGTAGATAGGGAAAATTTGTTGAAAACCGTTACATTTGATTTCTTAGAATTATCTCTGTGGGGTAGGTAGAGGGAAGGATCAGGTTAACTCTTTTATGCTTTGTCTATTTTTTTTTTTTT